TATATATATATGATTTCAAGTAAAAATCATCAAGTGTTACCATAATTTCCCATTTGTTTCAAATGTTAAAAGAAATATAAAGATATTCAGATATATTTGTTCCTATCACTGCATAAAGTAAAACAAATCCAGTTTCGCAGGTTCCTACATGATTTTCTTGGGCTAAAATCTAAGTTTTGGAGAGCTCACAATCTATTACAGAGATGCTGAGGGAACAATATATGCTCTTTTTTTCAACTCTTAGAGATCATCCATATTCCTTAGTTCATAATCCTTTTCCTCCACCATCAGAGGCAATACTGCTTCCCTTCTGAATCCTTGCCTGTGACCACATTTCTTAGATTGACGGCTAAAGTCCTATGTTTTCAGGTACTTATTTGTTTAGATTAGAGCAACATAATATTCCCAGTTAATCCCAAATCTCTAGGTCTATTAACAAAACCATACCTGTAAAAGCCCATTTCACAAGTTCTAACCACTGTGTCTTGAGTATCTTGAGGCAGGTGTCTACCTAATAGACTACAGGACTCAAATGCAAAACTAAATACATGGTTAAAGGTATCATCTACTAGACTATAGGACTAAAATGAAAAACTAAATACATGAATTAAAGGTATCATACCATATACAGAATGGACATTTAATATATAAATGAGTTGGCAGAGTGCTTGCCTAACATAATAGAAAGTTCTTGGTTTAGTTCTCAACACCATATAAAACTAAGTATGGTGATATTTCTGAACATGGTCTAAGAATGGAGTTATGTGAAGAAATTCTGAGTGCTTGTGCGAAGACTCCAAGAAAACAAGACAAGAATCTTCAATAACACCAAAATGTTGTTAGAATGTATTTTCATGCTTCTTCCAGGTGTAGCAGATAGGGGTGAGTTGACTTCAGATTACTCATTACAACTGGTTATTGTTATTTGTTTATATGCCTCTATGGGAAAACATGTTTTTGCCACATTCAGTTTGTCCTTGAGATTTTGTACAGCTTGAACTTATGAGGACTTTATTCACATGATTCTTCTTAACCCTTGAAGAATAAATTGTTTATTGCTCTGAATAAAGCTGACTGCTACGTGAGCCTTTATTCCACCTCATTGTTAGGTTCCATTCTCTAGCAGTAAGCAGTGGTGGACACTTGAGAGTTAAAAGCAGGAGGTTCAAAAGTTCAAGGTCATCCTTAAATACATGGCAAGTTTGAAGCCAGCCTTTTGAGATAGGAAACTCTGTTCTCAAAAATATCTGTAAATGGTGCAGTTAAAAGTGATTATCTATTAACAAAAATATTGTTTATATTTAAAAATAATATTTATATGATTCAACATGAACAAGATTCTGTTTTTTTAATCTTTTGTTGTTGTTTCTCAAGACAGGGTTCCTCTTAATCCCAGCACTCAGGAGGGAAGCAGAAGCCAGCCTGGTCTATAGGAGCTAGTTCCAGGACAGGTTCCAAAGCCATAGAGAAACCCTGTCTCAAAAAGAGAGAGAGAGAGAGAGAGAGAGAGAGAGAGAGAGAGAGTTAGAGTTTCTCTGTGTAACTACTCTGGCTGTCCTGGAACTCACAGAGAACAAAAAACAAAAACAAAAAAATAAACAGGAAAAGAGAGCAATATCTCACTTATTAAGTGACACAATAACCAAGTGTATGAGAACCGTATCATTGGTGTTTCCACTGAATGTTTATGCAGACCACAAAAGAGGACATGAGGATTTAGTTCAGACTGCCTAGACTCGATCCTCCTGTGCTTCTCACATGTTTGTACCTGTGCTAGAATGGATAGTGTCTCATGCTTTCACAGTTGTGCCCACTGTTTTACTACTCTCCAAACTGATGCATGAAAAACTATGCACAATCATGTGAATCTCTGTCAGTGCTAATGACTTTGGGCATCTGTTTATGTGGTTTTAGTCTATCATGTTTACTTTTCAAAGAATGAATATATAACTCTTTTGTCAGCTTACTGAAAATACTTTGAGGTCAAAATTTAAAGAATTTATTTATAAAGCATTTCTGTTTATTATGACTAGGTACATGAGGATCTTTCAACATGCAGTTGTTTTAAGTAAGAGTTCTGTGTGTGTGTGTTTTATATCTACATGAGTGGTGTATATTTTCTCTACAGACCCATAAGGGCGGACCTGCAGTTATGACTTCTAGGCGAGATATCTTTTCCTTCTATCCCTTGTGCCAAGACATACTTTTTTCCAAAAAATAAAAAACTTTATCCTTGAGGGAGATATATACTTTTAGGTTTAGTGTTGTTATTTGTATTGATATATTTTAAGGACTGTTTTTATTTTTAATTTGTTTTAATTTAAATTTGTTTCATTTTAAGAACCTTTACTATTTTTTTTAAAAGATCACTGAAGACTTTATTTTTATAGGAGACATTAACAGCAAATGTGAGGAACTGGTATACCTTCTTTTTTTGTATTTTTTATTTTTCTATTCAAAAATTTACACTTCCTCCCCTCCTCCCAATCCCCTCCTGCTCCCCAACTCACACTCCTCCCTCCCCCTCCCTGCTTGAGAAAGGGCAGGGAACCCTGCCCTGTGGGAAGTCCAGGGCCCTTCCCCCTACATCTAGGCCTAAGAAGCTGTGCATCCATATAGACTAGGGTCCCAAAAAACCAGAACATGCCATAATAACAAGTTCCAGTGCCTTTATCAATGGCTTCTCAGTCAGCCCCATTGTCAGCCACATTCAGAGAGTCTGGTTTGATTACATGCTTATTCAGTCCTAGTCCAGCTGGATTTGGTGAGCTCCCATTAGAACAGGCACACTGTCTCAGTGGGTGAACCAACCCCTTGAAGTAAAAGGCAGCATACAGAATGGGAGAAGATTTTCACCAACCCCGCATCAGACATAGGTCTGATATCCAAAACATATAAGGAACTCAAGAAACTAGACTTTAAAATTCTAATTAACCCAATTAAAAATATGGTACTGAACTGAACAGAGAATTCTCAACAAAAGAAATTCAAATGGCCAAAAGACACTTAGGTCAGGGAAATGAAAATCAAAACAACTCTGAGATACCATCTTACACCTGTCAGAATGGCTAAAGTCAAAAACACCAATGATAGCATATGCTGAAGAGGATGTGGAGTAAGGAGAACACTCACCCATAGTTGGTGGGAATGCAAACTTGTGCAACCACTTTGGAAATAAATCAGTGTGGCGGTTTCTCAGGAAATTGGGAATCAACTTACCTCAGGATCGAGCAATTCCACTCTTGGGAATATACCCAAGAGATGCCCTATCATACTACAAAAGCATTTGTTCAACTATGTTCATAGCAGCATTATTTGTAACAGCCAGAACCTGGAAACAACCTAGATGCTCCTCAATGGAAGAATGGATAAAGAAAGTGTGGAATATATATGCATTAGAGTACTACTCAGCAGTAAAAAACAATGACATCTTGAATTTTGCATGCAAATGGATGGAAACAGAAAACACTATCCTGAGTGAGATAACCCAGACCCAAAAAGATGAATATGGTATGTACTCACTCATTAGTACATCATCTAGCCATAAACCAAGGACATTAAGCCTATAGTTCACAAGCCTAGAGAAGCCAAATAACAAGGTGAACCCAAAGAAAACATATATAGAACCTCCTGAAAATTGGAAGCAAACAAGATTGCCTGGCAAAAGTTGGGAGCATGGGGGTGGGAGTAGGGGTGGGGATGAGGTTGGGTGAAGGGGAGAGGGAGAAAGAGAAGGGAGAAGGGAAAGACTAGAGAGAGCTTGGGAGAGTGGGAGGGTGGAGATGGAGGAAGGGCAGATATAGGAGGAGGGAAGAAGATATCTACATTAAGGGAGCCATTTTAGGGTTGACAAGAAACTTGACTCTAGAGGGGATCCCAGGTGTCCACAGGGATGTCCCCAGCTAGGTTCTTGGACAGCAGAGGAGAGGGTGCCTGAACTGGCCTGTTCCTACTATCACACTGATGATTATCTCAAACATCACAATAGAATCGCCGTCCAGCGATGGATGGAGATAGAGACAGAGACCCTCATCAGAGCAATGGACTGAGCTCCCAAGGTTCAGTTGAAGGACAGAAGGAGGGAGAAGAGGAGCAAGGAATCTTTACTATTTTAAAATTAAGTTGTCTCAAAAATTCCACTAAACACCCCCACATAACAATACTTATGTTATTATTATTTGAAAAGTTATTTGTTTGTTTATTGGTTGGCTGGCTGGTTTTTTGAGAAAGTTTCTGTGTAGCCTTGGAAAACCTGGAACTCATTCTGTAGACCAGGCTGGCCACCAACCTCCCAGAAGACCTACATTTTTGCTTTCTCTTTATATTTTGTGTGTGTTTGTGTGTGTTTGTGTGTGTGTGTGTATGTGTGTGTGTGTGTGTGTGTGTGTGTGTGTGTGTGTGTTGTAGTTCAGTCCTTCCCTTTCTTTCCATCTCATGAGTGCCAGGAATGAAACTTAGTGAATGTCAAATAGTCTGCAACTCAGCAAATCTATACCTTCTCTAAATGCCCAATCCCATGCTACAGGGGGCATTACAGAATTAGCTAAAACAAACATAATGCTATTGAAGGAGAAAGTTTGATTTCTACATTCACACAAAACCACCAATTTGAGAGACTAAATTAACTACTGTTCATGACTACACAGGTTTGAAATATAATGCCAAAGATTAGGGATGAGAGATCCAAAGCTGAGAAGAAAGGTAATCTGTTATACCTGTGAGCTTGCTGAAGCAGGCATAGGAGTCTCAGGCTTCAGTAAAGTCCGATTTTTAAGTGGAGTGTTAAATATACTGGTACTCGCTAGTAAGCTTTTACCTGAACCCACAAACTAGATTCTCAGCTAAATACAATACGCTACTGAATACTGAATTCTTAGAAATAACCAAGAGCAATATGGACACCTGTTTGACTTCTGAGAGTATGTTTATGCTATAAATCCTTTATCTTTGTAAATTTTGCATCAGAATGTCACTAAGACAAATAAAAGAAGAATAAATACCGTGTTTCTTATTGGAATCTTTTTGGGTTCTGGTGGCACATCCTGCGGAACAAATTTCACTGGCTCCTTAATCTGTCTCCTTGATCGTTTGGTTCCGTCTGGCAAGGTTTCCATGGCCATGTCTGCTTCCATGTCACTGCTCCCCGCCTGGTCACACTCTGAGCACTGCCTAAACAAATTTTTGTTAAAATGAGGTCATATATTTATTATCTTCTGATTTTTAGCAACAAATTCTATAAATACAAAAAGAATTCATACACAAATACACACATACACAAATACACACAGGTAGTATGATAATGACAACACACAGAAACACACCTCTACCCCTGCAAAATGATTACCAGGACTATATTATAGAAAAAATTCATTGTATCCATGTATTACAAAAACAAACGGAACAATGCTATTGTGATCCTAATAACTCATAGACCATTGACTAAAAAGGCATCTTCTCTTTGGAAATGATGACATCTTTTTAATGTGACATATACTAAAAAAATCTTTTATGGACTTTTATTCTTATATTCCTTTACCATAACTTTTCATTGTATTTATTGACACAGTGTGCTGAATATACCATTTTGGGGAAAAATATGAGATTTGTTGAGTTTGAGGGAGAGTAGGCATTTTACTTGGTAGATCACGTAAAAACTACATTGTCAATGAAGACCTTGAAATGTTTATTCTGCTACATATATGTGCCCATTAAAACATTACAAGCAAGTTGAGCACAGTGATGCATGCCTTTGATCCCAGCACTTGAGAAACAATGGCAGGAGGATCTCTGAATGTTCAAAGCCACCCTGGTCTACAGAGTTCTGGGACAGTCAGGGCTGTAATGGAGAAAGCCTGCCTCGAAAAAAACAAACAAAACACAACACCACCATCTATTAAAAGTAAAAGAATAAAGAAGTATATTTCCAAAAGTTTGATTTGTGGTATATGATATGATATTTACATGCTGGTGTTTGTACCTTTGAATGTAACTTAAAGTTTCAAACATCTCTAAACATTTCTTATCACTTAATTAGCTCTCCATCAAAATTTTTATTTTTGATATACCAATACTACAGATTTACTATAAAGCTTATATTTACTTTCAAAACTGAGATCTTTAAATTCTCAGCTCTACATCATAAATACAAAGTACTATTTGTTTTGCTGATACAATCATAACTGCTACAATGCAAAATAACCAATGAGAAAAACAAAGTGTTATTCTGTAATGCATTACTTAGAAAATTCTTATGTGTATGTTGCTAGGCAACTAAAGATGTTTTATAGACTAACAAATCAATAATAAACTAAAGTGCTTTTCTACTTCTCTAAATAAAAACATCAGTAATTGATAATGGTAGTACATAAATACCTTACATAACCCCAGAATTTAAATAGTGGATATATTCTAAGAGGAAAATAAAATTATAAAAAACTGTGAAATGCTAAGGATTTGTTTTTGTTTTTAATAATAAAATACCACAGCCATTTAAGTAAATAAGTCTACAAACAATATCAAATTCTGTCTCAAATGGATCATTTTTTCTACTTTATATCTCTAAATTATACAAACTAATAACAATTTGATCATTTTCATCAGATCATTGAAATGTCAAAGTTTCTCAAGCATTCCAACTCTGTGTGTGTGTGTGTGTGTGTGTGTGTGTGCGTGTGTGTGTGTTTACTTACTAGCACTAATAAGTGCACACACAGGCAGTGACCTGGACACGTGGAAAGCAGAGGACAACCTGAGGGTTGATCCTTAGGTCTCCTATGCTTGCAGCTTACTGATTAGGATACACAGTGTGACCAACAAGCCCTGAAGATTTACAGTCTCTGCCTGAGCAGTATTGAGACTTCAATCATGCACCAACATCAAATCTGGCTCATATGGTTTAAGGATATCAAACTCAGGTCATCAGGCTTGCACAGTAAGCACTGTAGAAACCTAACCTTCCCCCCATCAACCATATTAACTGTAAAAGACATACATCCCTATAATATGAAAACAGGTACAAAAGGGTGTAAGGTTTGTAAATAAAATCATGTCATTTTATTTGTTTCTGTAACGACTATTTATCATTACAACATTCTGTTATGATCATTTTCAAACCCACTAAAAATTGTCACAAATTAATTCTAGAAGATTCAGACAAAAAAAATCATGCTGTGAAACCCCAAAATGTCAAAAATCTCAAAATGTCACGAAAATTTTGTAGCTGACAATACAGAACATATGTTCCAATTTTAAGGCAGTTGCCATGAGTCATGCCGTATACATCTAACACAGATGGACAGCTTTTACTTGTGACAATATATTAAATACTGCAGTCTACACCTTCAAACACCCTTTAAGATATCTATGTAACGGTCTAGTATAAAAGTCACAGCATATCCAATTCAATGAGATCACAGAACATTTGGAAAGTGATGATTATCCTGGAATGTCAGAGGCATGTAGCCGAATTCATTCAGTAATCTATGACACTACTATGATACATAAGCATATTAATCAAACTCATCATCTATATATTTACTTAATACATATATTCTATCTGAGATAGGTCCTACAGTTTGTAATTCCTATGCAAAAAAAATCTTAAAATAAATGAAGTAATCAAAACTATTAGCTGACACTGCCCCCCTCAAAGACCCAAAACCACTTAGAAAAGAATCCCAACACCAGAAATGGGAAGCCTTCTTTTGATTTGTAGTTCAAAGTTGTCCAAAAGACTTCCAAAACATTATGGGCTATTGTTATTACCCACAGTTGCCCTGGAGGTAGAAGGTAAATCCCTATTGCTGAAGACACTAAGCACTTCAGACATAGGGCTCAGAGGCTCCCAAGCTGGAGCTGACCTAAAAGTCGCCTCGCCCGAGAAGCAAGAGTAGTGTTTGGAAGGAGAAAAAGGGAAGAGATGATGTAATTATATTATACTTTCAAAAATAAAAGAAAAATATTTTTAAAAACTATTAAATAAAATGGAGTTTGAACACTAAACAACAAAACTTCATGTGAGGAATTATGCAAAAGAACAACATTCACTTTCATGTTGAAATACCAATATAACCTTTTCAATTTGCTACACATTCTGTCCAGCACCACTATCAAATCATCTTTCAAAAAATATTCTTCAAGTCTGGCATGGTGGCACACATCTTTAATCCCAGCATTTGGGAGGCAGAGACAGGACTGAGTTCAAAGCCAGCCTTGTCTACAAAGTGAGTTCCAAGACAGCCAGGTCTATACAGAGAAACGCTGCCTTGGAAAAAAAAAATCCTCACATAATCACCAAAGGTTATTTCTGGTAAGATAGAAGACAAAAAAAATGAATGCCTACAACCAGTTAAGAGGAAGGATCATATACCCTGGAAAGAAGAGAGTAAGAAGTTCATCAAAGTTGTGCCCGGATCTCTGAAAAATGTAGAATAAAAGACTGGAATGCACAGAAGAGAAGTAAAATATACAACTCACAAAAGCCACATGTTTTCCCATATATGAGTATGTCTAAATTGTATATGTTTTTGCATATGTTGTTTGTGTGTAGGTGAAGGTCAAAAGAAGGCAGATACCTTGTATCTTCCTCCATCATTTTCCATTTTATTTTTTTTTTTTTGCTGCTGTTGTAAAAAACTTTTTCATACAATATCTTCTGCTCATGTGCTCCCCTCCCCCAGTTTCTCCCACATCCACTTTATTTGTTGAGACAGGTTCTCTCATTCAACCTGGAACTCATAGGTCCACCAAGACAGGATGTCTTTTAGGAGTCTCAGGGTTTTTGCCTCCAAGGGCTAAGATTACACACACTGAAACCACACGGCACTTCTTATTCTGACCATAGGGATCCAAACACAGGTTCTCAAACAGGTACAACAAGCATTGTAGCCCACTGAGTCATCTCTCTGGCCCCTAAAGCCAGAGCCTTTAATACATTGCAATGCCAGGATTCAGGTCCTTTTCTTTTCTAAAACTAGAAATGATGTGGGATTTCCCTCTGAATATGTTGTGAATTTGTTTTATTGTCATTGGTTAATAAAGAAGCTGCTTTAGGCCAATAACTTAACAGGATAAAGCCAGGCAGAAAATCCAAACAGAGATATACAAAGAAAATAGGCAGAGTCAAGGAGAAGCCACGTAGCTGCCTAAGGAGACAGATGCCCCAGAACCTTACCGGTAAACCATGATCCTCATGGTAAGAAATGGGTTAACTTAAGATGTAAGAGTTAGTTAACAAGAAGCCTGAGCTAATAGGCCAGGCAGAGTTTTAATTAATATAGCTTCTGTGTGATTATTTGGGGTCTGGGTGGCGGGAACAAAAAAGCAGCCTCTGCCTATACAGAACACATACTTTTGCGTAAAAATAATATTCATATTCACTTCATAGTTTTTCCTTGTCTGCATTCCCCTTCCTGAAATACTGCAACAATCAGTCTAATAAAATCTGAGCATGTGTCTCCTCCTTACAATATACCTAGGATAAAATTCATTATCTATATCTGGGATGGTTACTATTAACAGTCACCTTGACGGAATCTATAATCACCTGGGAGATTCTAAGGATATGCCTGTGGGGCACTATCTGGATTATGTTAAGTGACACAGAAAACCCCATCTTACTGCATGACCATTACCTAGGGATGAGACAAAGCTCTTTCTGCCTTGACATCAAATCCATGAGGGCCTGTACCTTGAACTGTGAGCAAATATGACCTCTCTCAATCTTTGAAACAAGAAAAGAAACATCAATAAAATATCTGTAGTTATCTGATGTAGGAGAGTCTTCTGCATTTCCATTGCTTTCATTGGTAAATTAATAAAGAAACTGCTTGACCTGATAGGTCAGAACATAGGTGGGTGGAGTAGACAGAACAGAATGCTGGGAGAAAGAAGCAGAGTCAGGCAGTCGCCATGACTCTCCTCTCCGAAACAGACATAGGTTAAGATCCTTCTTGGTAAGCTACCACCTCGTGGTGCTACACACATTAACAGATATGGGTTAATCAAGATGTGAGAGTTAGCCAATAAGAGGCTAGAACTAATGGGCCAAGCAGTGTTTAAAAAAAATACAATTTCCGTGTAAGCCAGTGAAAAGATAATTAAGAAATGGTAGTCATGGCTGGGATGTAGTTAAGTTGGTAGAGTGTTTGCTAAGCACACAGGAGCCCTGGGTTCAATCCCTTATACCACATAAACAGCATGTTGTCCCAGGTCTATAATCCCAGCACTCAGGAGGGAGAAGCAGGAGGCTAGAAAATTGATGGCTATCTCCAGCTCCATATGATTTCAATATAGGACTGGAAAATGAGATTCTGTCTTAAAAAAAAAAAAGTTTTCAAAATTTCTGGATTTTCAAAGAATGGCTGATGAAACTTAAAACTTGTTTAACTTCAAAATAAAATTAATGAATTTGAGAAATACCAAATCATAAAAAAAAGAAAAATCCCTAGTGCCTTATGTAAGAAAGAACACACTGCTAAGATTAAAAGTTTAATTTCTATAAAAATTATTCATGTAATAGAAAGACCTATATTCAATTCAAAAGTATGAAAAATACTTTACTATGAATCAGTGATATAGAAAACCAATTCCAACCACATGCAGTCTATTTAACTCACCAGTAACTGTTTTTGGTCTTTCTTGGCATCCGTGTAAGGGGAGGATCAAGGCACCCAAGATGGTAATGCAGCTTACAGGTGTCACACAGCAAAAGAAGGTGCTGATCATGGTTCTTCTTACAAATTCCACAACTTCAACAAAAGCAGCAAATAAGAATTACACTGATATCCGTAGGGAAACAGTTTCATTATAGCAGCTCTGAGTTCAACCAGCTTCTGTTAATGTCATTTCTGGTCGTTAGAGACTGAATTTTGCTATATGAACTAGGCTGGCCCTGACATCACGTAGGGACAACAGGTGTATGCTGCAGGACCCTGTAATCAACCTATGATTTTCACAGCACCCATTGTTTTAACAATACTCGTAACTGTTAGAGCTAAATACAGAATGTTAAAAACAGCTTAGTTCTAATATACGCTTAAAAACTCATTAAAGAATGGGAATACTCAAAGATTCTCAACATAGCCTTTTAATTATAATTTAAAATTTATGTTATTAGTTCAATTTTTCTTTAGAAACATAAACTATGAAAGAAACAAAAATTTGAAAAACAATATTCTAATTTTGAAAACTACCCTGAAGGTCAAAAAAAATATTTCACAAACGATTTTTTTATTATTAACTGCAAACTTTTCACACAGCATTAAACATATAAATAAGTTACATTTCTATGTCTCTTTTCACAAACGTCAGACCTTGAATTAAAATAGAAATACTAATTGGTATTAGTGATAATATCACAAGTGACAGAAATTTTAGTTAACATTTCTTCTGGGAAAACCAAATTTTACTTCTAAGAAAATGAGCACCACGGCCTGAAAATTCAGCACAGATTTAAATTGGGGATACACAGAATGTTGGAAAAGTTGTCTGAGAACATAAGAAAAACAGGAATGCCCAGCAAACTGAAGAATAATAGTGTCAGATGTTTTCAATATTCCTAGAAAACACATATGTGAAGCTGTAACAATAAAACAAATGGACAGCAGTAATCAAAAAACAGAACACCTGGTCTTAAACAAAAATCAGCTTAAACATATTCTTAAGTAAAAAGTAACTATAGTCATAAAACCCAGAAGTCTATGCCTAATATTTTCAAAAGAACCAACCACACTTGGGAAAACCATTCTAGGGATACACTAACGTTCACACTAAAAATTAAGACAATAATGTACTTTTACATATTTCACATATACACACAATATATATGTGCATATACTGGTGTATTATTAATATATGTATTTAGAGCACATAAATAGACATAAATACAACATTTTCTAAACTCTCACTTATTGTGATTAATATGTTACAGTAAAAAGTGATCTCTTGTTTAAATATAGAAAAAATGAGGACTTTATTAAGATATAGAAAATGAAATTGTCATGAAAAAGTACAATGATCAATACTGTTAAAATACTGAGTAAAAAAAAAATAAAGGAGAAAAGTATGTCTGGAAAAGAAATTATTACAACTGATCAGGGAGAGAAAAAGTACAAACAGATTAAAATATAAAAGTCATCATCTTTATCCACTATTATTCATCCCTACCTAAATCAAAAGGAAAATTTTACAACTCATTCAAGTAAAATTTAAATGTTCACTTTTTTATTATGTTTATTAACATAATAATTACATAATTATTGATTATAAGTAAATTTAAAAGATTAAATTAAACATAACAAGCACAATACCTAATTGTGCAATTTCTTCAAATCTAACACTCTCTCAACTAAACTATTTCATCTGGGTATTTTTTAATTTCTTAAAAAAAATTCTGTTTCCACGGGACATACAAAAATTTATTCTTAGTTCCTAAGTACATCATTTATCTTTCTGAAGAACAACAAATATCTCTTGTATCATCCACCCTACAAAACATTTTTGATCAAATGAACCCGAAACACACTTAGCTGAAATTCTGAAATGGACCGTAATTTGCTCTCAGATATGTAAAGCACCTTCTGACTAGTATATATTAGTTGAACAATAAGCAATATTATCTATTATGATTTTATTACTTGCCTATAAAGTACTGTAGGAAGAGCAGATGTCTTGTGTGTGCCTCCTTCTTTCTTACTTGGTTTTCTCTCCTTGGGTGCTCGTAAGATTGCTGGTACATTCAACTTCTATTGATATGAATAAAGGCAGTAGATGCTGCTTTAAAGATGAAGTAAAAGAAACATTTTTTCCCCTATTTGCTACTAAATGTAACTAAATAAGCTAGGATTCAGAGAGGCAAATCTGCTTTACCAGCTATATTAGCAAAGAGAAAGAAAAGGAGTTTTAAATCTCAATTGCTTCTATTAGAAAACTCTAACTGCACAAATTTGATAGTATGAGAATTATACTACTTCAGCTCGAAAACTCTACCAGAGGGGCACAACAGAAAAGGCTTAACAATCGAACACAGTATACTTGGGCAAAAGCATCAGTGTTGTTTCTTTGTACTTTCCCAGCTATACTGCTGTTCCATAGGTCAATTAGGAAAATTATCTTATTGGACCAAACCCTGTAAAAAAGCAGATGAGATTCTCTTTGGCTCTCTACTAATCTATAGTATGCTGGCTTGAGAGACAGCAACCATCTATCAAAGTCATTTCTTAGTGGCCCGGTGAGCCCACATCTGTTCAGCCAACTGGAAAACCATCACAAAATGATAAACGTGAATTTTATGCCTGTGCATGCCACTGTCACACAAAGCAGTTTGCAATCTTCTATGAAGTCATTGAATAAATAAAAATGTCTTTTACAGTAGATAATATTTTAAGCTGTAGAGAAGGTTTTTATGGAAAAAAATATAAACCAACTCAAAACAAATGCTAGATTGGCAAGTAACCTCTTCACTCCCCAAATACCATAACCTTCCCAAAATCTATTAACTACCTATTAACGTAAACAAGAGTTAATATGTCCAAAGGCAACTCTTCCTCTTTGCCTTTTAAAATGAATTATTCTTTATAGTTCCAGTGACATGCAATCTGTTCACAAAAGAAGTTTCTTCAAGGGGCTGGAGAAATGGCTCAGCGGTTAAGAGCACTAACTGCTCTTCCAGAGGACCCAGGTTCAATTCCCAGCACCCACATGGCAGCTCACAACTGTCTGAAAATTCAGTTCCAGGGGATCTGATACCTTCACACCAATGAACATAAAATAAAGATAAATAAATCATTAAAAAAAATTTTAAAAAATCTTAAAAAAAAGAAGTTTCTTCAAAGTCAATAGGATACTATATAATTCAACACGCATTACTTTAGATCTACATAGACTATCTCCAGAAGTTGATTTTTACAGGTGTCTGAGATGTATACAATTCAGTCTTACAAACTACTTTTACAGAGAAAGAACCACAAACAGGGAGTCTCTATCACCTATCTTTATAACTGAAGTTATCTGAAACAAAAATCTTATCATTTATTGCACAATATATAAAAGGACATCCAAAACCCTCCATTTTATTATGTTTGTCATTTTAATATGAAGCACATTAACAAGGTACAATTGCTCAAGGAGAAAGGGCATTCCTTTTGCTTGTCCTATAACTACAACTAATAGTTACCAACAGATCTTTTAAAAGCACACTTTAACATCTAAGTTTCAAAAACTGTATCTCTTGTTCAGATGAAAACCAAATTAACATGAAAATCATAGCTGTGGTTTGAATTTTTAACTTTAAATACAAATAAACTGAAGAAATAAATAAGTAGGGTATAAGAATGGAAAAGAAAAAATATGGCGAAGAATCTAAAACCACTGAATAAAGAATATACTAGAGAAAACTCATGCTTCATATCTTAGCTCATCAGAACTGACAGGTCAATCAATTTAAGCAAGTGGAAAAAAATGCCATCAAGATAGCTGATGAAAGAACCAAATGAAGCTACAGGTTCTCAGCAGGCAGTGGCTGCCAGTAGTCTGGAAGTATTTCAGATAGAAATCATTACCCCAGGGAATTAGGCTCTGATCAAATAGATTATTTCGTTAGCAAAGTGGCTGCTGTGTAAGAAATATGTACTCTGGACAATTACATAGCAGGTAAGAATTGAAGAGAGTTACTATAAAGAAACTAACCTGCCCTGTAATTCGACCAAGTAAGGCCCATATTCCTTGCCCTTCACTTCGAAGTTTCCCATTCAGATTTTGCAGTTCTTCTAAAGATTCACAGAGCTACAAAAAGAGTAAGTAAAATCAGTAAGTTTTTATATGTACAAATATGTAAACAAGAAAATTCACATTTATTTTCCATACAGAATCTATTCAAGTCAGATAACTACTGAAAGACAAAGATACATTATTATTATTATTATTATTATTATTATTATTATTTAGCATGATGATATGCTCAAGAGAGGGCAAACATTTTCTGTTACTCTAGTGTTTTATGATAATTACATATCAATATATTTCTTTATAGTTTGGCACATAATAATTTGACACATACTTTGCTTTATCATTCACATTTCCATCACTTTTCTCATGAGAAAACTAAGACTCAGAGGTTCATTTGGCTAAGATCAAAATAACTAGCAAAAATCTCCAGATCTTTATCCCCACAATCTTTAGCGATTACTAGATGTTACTTCCTTCTAGTTTCAACTCTTTAAGTGTTTTTTGAACAATAACTAGATACCAGTTTAAATATTCATGCAACTTAGAACCTAATAATTCAGCAATATCTTGCTTTATATATTATTACACAAAGGGATACAATAAAATTTTAAATTAGAAAATATTTATAACAAAAATACCATCTAATTTAGGAAAGCCTTCTAGCCAGGTAGTGGTGGTACATGCCCTTAATCCCAGCACTCTGGAGGCAGAGGCAGGCAAATGTTTGTGAGTTCAAGGGTTGGTCTACAGAGTGAGTTTCAGGATAGCCAGGGCTACACAGAGAAATCCTGTCTCGCAAAAAACTAAAAAGAAAACAAAGTTTAAAAAAGAAAGACTACTAATTTAAGAGTGGGGTTTACAATTTTAATCCTACTTTTAAAAAGGTCTATAATGGTTTGTGCACTTAATAATAAAGAAACAAACACCACCGCTGAGACCAGATGACTACGAGGCCATGTACAAATCATGTCACCTCCTCAGACCTCAGTTCCGACCCCTAAAATCATGAACAGTAATGATGAGGACTCACACTAAGGACAAGGAGAGAACTGAATGACTTACTATGTGTAAAGAGATCAGAACTGTGCCTGGCATAAAAAAAGCGCTCAGTAAGAGAATGACAACAATAAAAATGATAACGAAGGTCAGAAAAGAGCCTAAGAGCTATAGAATTTCACACTGAAACATAGAAATGTAATAAAATAACAAAACAACTATAAATACAATCTACTAAATACTGTGTATTTGTAGCCAACGTACCTTATTATATTCTACATGAAGCTTTTCTTGCTCATTTTCTAATTTATCCTTTATATTCTTTTGTTCAGCCATATTTTCCTGAATTTGAATCATGCGCATATTTCTCTCTATTTAAATTAAATATCCAATTTTACTTCAGTATAAAGTAAAGGCTAATATAAAACATACACAAAGAATCAAACTAGAAACAGAGATGATCAATTGGATAAACCTACATTTTTCAAACAATTTTAAGTATATTTAAGAAGAAAACAAAACATGAGCCTGGAATTTATAAAATGCTACAGCTTTGGAAAACAAACACGGCTCTGACATATACAACATACGAATGATTTTCTAAAACATTATTAGTATATCAAATTTTGTCATTAATAAATTATTCTCAGAGAGACTGTGCATGCATCAGTGTCTATACTGACCAAAATAGTAATTCACAAAATCAGCAGTGAGAGCTGGCTGCTTGTGCTTCCTCCTCCCGTCCACACTAGAGCTAGTGTCTGAATTGTCCACTGGAAAGATGTCTGTACTGATCCCCATTAGTTCTGCTTTGCGCATCAGTTTACGAATGGCCGAAGCACTACTTGTGAGTGGCCTGGGTAACTTTTCCCTTGGAACCCAGGCTTGCGGTCTGGTAGATCGAGCCAACTCTGCCTTGGCACGATACTGCTGTAGTCGGGCATTGATCCTTGCCTATAAAGAAATGCAGAAAGTTTGACAGAAAAAATGGAAAATATTCCTCATAACTTTAACATTTATGCTTAGAGAAGATAACAATACTAAAATCTTACTACATCTTACAATTAAGGCAAATGAGATTCATCATTGGTCTTGAAGATAAATCACGTAAGTCCAGAGTTGTACTAAATGGATCCACAGCTCGTATCAGCTGCCTTCAGATGGGGTCCTAGAGCTGAAAGAGAAGTGGACGGAAGCCCGCATCCCTAAACCAGAAGCAATCTCCAATTGATAACCACTTGTGATGAAAACCTAGTTTCCTCCGAGGCAATCTCACTGAGGAAACAAACCACTTGTAAGGATAGGCTGCACGCCCAACAGCATATGAACAAGGTAAAACAAATTCAAAGGATCCTTGTCTTATAGTACCATGTCAGATCTTTCTCTTTATTTAAAGAAAGTTTTTTTATTATGTTTTAATTTCAATTTTATATATATGCACACATATATATAAACCAATTATATAACCATATATATATATGGTTTATATGTTATATATGGTTATATAATTGGTGTGTGTGTGTGTGTGTGTGTGTGTCTGTGTCTGTGTGTTTCATCTCCCTTTTCACCCTACAGGTCCTTTACATATACAGTGTGTCTTGTGGCTTCCAATTTAGCTTTTTTGAGATTCCTGTGTGTGGTAACAAATGGATCTGTTTCTTATGCCTTCTTTTGTTTTTTTTTTTTCTCCTTCTGTTTGTTTTGTCCTATTCCAGTGTGCTACTTTTTGTTTTATTTTATTATATTAGAATCCCTTAGAAGCTTGTATTCTTTAAAAACAAAAAAGACTGTTTTCTTTTATTAAAAACGGGTCCTTTTCCTATACAATATACCCTGATAAAAGTTTTCCCTCCCTCCACTCCTCTCAGTTCCATCCCACCTCCCTCCCCTTCCACATCAACTCACTTTTTGTCTCTCATTAGAAAAGAACAGGCTTCCAGGAGATAATAACCAAACACGGCAAAGTGAAATATAGTAAGATGAAGCAAGAACTTTCGTATCAAGGTTGGACATGACATCCCAACAAGGGGAAAGGAGTCCCAGGAGCAAGTAAAAAAGTGGAGACCCACTCATTCTCAGAGTCAGGAGTCCCACAAAAACACTAAGCTAACAGCTATAATTATATATGTAGACTGTGCTTGCTGCTTCAGGATTGTGAGCTCATATGGACCTAGTTTAGTTGATTCAGAAGACCTTGTTCTCCTGATGTCCTCCATCCCCTCTGACTCTTACAATCTTTTTGCCTCCTGTTTTGCAGGGTTCCCTGGGCTGTGAAGAGAGGGATTTGATGGAGATCTCTAATTTAGACCCCTCTGCATGATGTCTTCAACCAAAATTTTCAACATGGAAATAATACTTTACAAATGACTACACCATAGATATGATGAAACATAACTTCAGAAACAAACTCTACTCATGTTTAATCACAAACTATTGCTTAAGTAAAATTTCAAAACTACATTTTATATGCTAGATCTCAGTGTTAATCACATGTCAATAGAAAACATACATGAGAGCTGAAAAGAAAACAGTAAGATTTGGTGTGATTTCCATACCTGTGCTTCAGGAGACAGTTGTTTTTCTCTCTCTTGCAAAGACATTTTACAATAGGATTGTAGAGCCAAGTAGTTTTTTCTTTTCCACTTTCTGTCTAACCTATCTGCATGTTGCTTACAATAAGCAAAAAATGGATCTGCTATATCCTAAAAAAAAAAAAAGTTAAAAATTTTTACTCCAAAGGATTATTTTAAAATCAAACTATCACAAAATAATATTTTTTGACAAATCTGCTAGTGATAGTTATATCAATAAAATATTGAGGAAGTAATTTTCATACATCATGATAAAAATTACTGCATTTGAAATGCAATCTATCAGCCTCAAATTACCAATATTTGTTTTTCTCTAAAGGCCTTTGTTGTGCTTGGAAGTATAGGTTATCCATCCAACACTTGCCTACCTTGAGCAAGACCTGGATTTGATCCCAGCAATGTAAAACAATAAAGGGCCATAAGTATTACAAAATACTGATTTAAAAAAAAACTTTTGTTATTTGGGTATGTTTGTGTATTTCTTTAAAAACCTGTTGTGTGATACATAAAATTTCAATAGCATTAGGGAGGAATCATGAGCAAATATTAAAGTTACATAAATGTAATAAAAGCAACAGTGAATACATATATGCGTTGTGTGTGTGTGTGTGTGTGTGTGTGTAAAAGACAAGCCAATACAAGTAAGTGAAACATTCCTAACCCACTGGTCAACCAGCTTATAATTAATATAGATCTCTGTGTAGTTCGTTGGTACTGACTGAACAACTGCAGGACGGGGTATGACAGAAAACTCTATCAATAAATGGTGTCAATGAGGACAACTGCATCCATATAAAACCTGAGAGTTTGGGAAGTAATTCTAGACACAAAATAAAAGTTAAGCATGGCTTCTTGGTAGCAGGTTTTACTCAGGTGAGCTCTGTTTTCTTGAGGGAAGCATGTCTCATTTAAGAGAGATTTCCTGACTCAGCATTAGCTGCTAAAACCTTGCAGCTGTTTTAAGATGATTCCCCAGAAAATACTTAAATGGTTTTTATGAATAGACAACAGTATGCTTCTTGGTGGTGGCAGGGACCTTGAAACGCCATAGAGTTGTGGCAATAAACATGGCTCCAGCTGATACCTCTACCATGAGGCCTGAAAGCTAAGAAATGGGCTGAATCCAGCCATGAAAGCCACGGCATTAATCCTAGCCATTAATGGTTTAGCAAATTAAAGACTCATGTGGTCAGAAAAGAAGAGATATACAGTAAAGATAGATTCAAAGATGAAGAAAACATCTAAATGGTTTATAGTGTGTTTAAAAACATATGTAGGCTTAGGAGAGAAAAGAAAAAGGATAAAGTCCTTAAAAAAAAAAAGGAGAGTAGTTGAATGTGGTGGCACACACCTTTAATCCCAGCACTTGGGAGGAAGAGGCAGGAATCTCTGTAAATTCAAGGTCAACCTGGTCTACAGAGTGAGTGTCAAGACAGTAAAAGATACACAGAGAAACCTAGTCTCAAAAAACCAAAAATTAAAAATAAAAATAAAAGAAATAGAGTTTAAAATAAAGCCATGTAAAGATGAAAAATACATAGAGAATCTGGATATTGTATATTATTGTGGTGTCTTTGAATATATGACTGTTAAGAAAGGAGCCTGCTAAAAGACATTTGATTATAAATGCTGTTGGATTAATCCATCATACATATTTTGAAAATGCTTTGTCTTCAAAATTTAAGTCAAAAGATATGTTACTTTGGAGAAGAAGTTTTAGTTTTGTTTTCTACAGGAAATGAGAGGTTGTAGATTCATTCTGGACTAACAAAAATCAGGTTGATCAAGGAAGACCTCCTGAGAAATCCCCGATAGGAGAAGATGGTCCAGATGATCCAAGGTGTAAGACAACCTCTGTTGGAGTTTCCTCTGAGTTCTACATCCAGAAGAGTTTAAGAGTGATAGCTTTTATGATTAAGCCTCACAGAATTTTCCAGTCAGGACTTGACTGTAATTCTAAATTTTCTTTAGGTTCCTTTAAGATTATCAGTGCCCACAATCAGCAGGAAGTGGCCTGGAAAATTATTCCCACATTCCGAAAAAATGGATTATGGATGTTTTTCTTTGTTTAGAGTGTTGGTTACAAGTTGTATGGATAATAGTCAGGAAGAAAGCTAAACAAGGGAGATTCGATTTAGAGTTTTTATTTTGATAAAGAAGAGGGGGGGTGCTGTGGGACAATGGTTTTACCCTGTAAAGATTTGTTTCCTGTATTTGTTTAATAAAATGCTCATTGGCCAGTAGCCAGGCAGGAAGTATAGGTGGGGCGACTAGGCAGGAAGTAGAGGTGGGGCAAGAAGAAGAGGAGAATTCTAGGAAGAGGAAAGATTCAGTCTGCAGTCGTCACTCAGACACAGAGGAAGCAAGATGAGAATGCCTCACTGATGAAAATACCAAGCGATAAGAATAATGGGCTAACATAAGATGTAAGAATTAATTAGTAAGAAGCCTGAGCTACTAAGCCAACCAGTTTATAATTAATGAAGACCTCTGTGTATTTCTTTGGGACAGAACGACTGCAGAACTGGGTATGACAGAAAACCTCTGTCAATATTTATCCTGTACAAAATAAATGAGGAAGGCTAAACACTGTCAATAACAAAATTCAGGTACTCCCCTTTTATCGTTTTATAACTAATATCTCACATAGGAACATGGTATTAGCCAAAGGGTACATTTTAATACACTGGTCAAAGTAGTCAAAAGAGACTCCCAAAACACAGGCTATTTTAATTGCCCTCGATTGTCTCCTAGAGGTTGAAGCTATGTCTCTATTGCTGGAGAGACGGTATCTTGTACTTCAGACACAGAACCGAAACAATCCAAGCTGGTTCTGACCTGAACACCTCCTTCCTTAGGACTATCTTTCATGATACAAGATAGTACCATGCAAGCTTCCAAAGGAGAGAAGCAACCAATAGACCTACCAAGTTAACACCAATAAAGTTAAACAAGGACAGCAGGGTATGCTATCCCAAAGGGTGCAATGATGGTATGCATACCTTAGTGATAGCTAACACTGCTCCAATTGAATGTAACGTCTACTCAACAAGAGGAGAACCATGCCTGGTACTAGAAACCTAGACAACTACCAGGGGCAGTGAAGTCACGGATCTTGGAAGAGAACCTAATAGCACCAGTTTACTAAACCTGTATAATCCTAGCTACATTATAAATATTTATGCCTACAGCCAAGTAGAGATCTTGCCCCTCGTCAAAGATAATCTCCCTGCAACAAAAAAACAGGCCATTGCAGAAAACGACAATCAATAAAAATACAGAGAACAAGTGATCATAGAGTACCCAGCCCCAACTGATACATGCACAATACAACTCATGTACCTAAGGTTCAGGGATCAGAGTTTAAGAGGGGCAGGAAACACAGCAAGAAAAAAAATAACAGGAGAATTTGCTGTAAGATTTCATCTCCTAGAAATGATACCTGTGACGTCTCATCAATACAGCTGCCTAAATAAGACCTAAACAAAGATAACACAAACAGACATACTAAAGAAAACAGGAGTAAAACCTCATGGGGCCTCAACCCTAGACCAAAAAACAAACAAACAAACAAACAAAAAACATTAGGAAATGCTGAGAGCAGGAGAATTAGTCTTCACGGGGCAAGTGCCCCAAAACTGGTTATTCAATACCAAGTAATCAGCCCTGAAATCATATACATACAAGTAACCATATTGGATGGAGCAAGCTGTTTATATATATATATATATATATATATATATATATATATATATAGTAACACACACACACACACTAAAGAAATAATAGCTGTTTTTTGAGAGAAAAGACGTGAAAGAAAGTAGGAAGGGTCAATGGGAGGAAAACAACTTTAAGAACAGTACTATAAAAAACAATCTTAATCCTAGTCAAGACACAAATCATTTCTTTAAATATAACAAAAAATCAAAGTAATTTGCATATCATAGTTATTAAGAAACAGCAAACTTTATAGAATGGCAATTCATTCCATGTCTGTCCCTTAGTTTTCAATCTAAGTTACACTAGAAGGGACTTTTATTAAGACAGAGGTTTAAAATCCAAAGAGAAATGCAATTTTCAGGCACGTACACCCGAGACAGAATAGAGTGATAAATAATAATCTTGAAAATCTAATCTATACTTAAAATGTTTGAAAGCACATAAAGCAATTTTGTAGCACTCTGTAAGATAAAAATTTGAATAAGTAGACACCGACTTGGACACTAATACAACACCTAACACAACTATTTCAAAATAACAATATAATCACCATTTTAAAAAGCAGAATCGACATGTGTTTATCCTAGCCACACTTAACCTAAAGATGTTATTTACATATATTTAAATTATTCAAAACCAGGCTGTATGGTCTATGCATGTGCACATGTCTATGTTTGTGTGTGGACGCTTCCGTTGCTTTGTTGCTGCTGTTGCTGTTGCTGTTATTAAAGGGATCTTCTTGGGTTCTAAAGATCAGCAATTCAGCAAGACTAGCTGGCAACGCAGGGTTAGGATTACAGACATGTGTTACCACACATCCAGCTTCTTCTATAAGTCCTGGAGATTTGACTCAAGTTCTCACGCTTTGATGGCAAACACCTTAAAAACTGAGCCATCTCCCTAGCACTAAGATAATCTTAATTAATGCTTACCTACTAATTTTAAGATTTAAGTAAGAAATGTAATTACTCTGTATCCTGAGAAATTAAAAAAAATAAAATGAGGGGAAAAGATATATATCAAATCAGATATATAAGATATATGTGTGTATGTGTATATATATTTTTTTTCCTTGAGGATCTGTGTAGCATTATATAACCATTTAGAACCTGATTCTAAAAGTACGACACTATTGTAAGTCACAATGATTGTTTTAATGAAGAGCACTGTTTACTTACACAGAAAGTTAAAGTTGTACTAGTGTTTAGAACTTAAGCTGGTGATCCACTGTAACATAATTATTAATGATCAAGAATAATAAATGAATAATGCTGTGATTTCTTAAATTCAACACCCTAAAAAGTGAAGCCCAGGTATATAACGTCTGAGAAGTGAAGAGGTCTATCCTAAAGCATCCAAAAGAAAACTGGGAAATATGACATTCCAACTTTTTCTTTTCTTTATTCTTAATACCTATCTATTCATTTTTTTCTCTTAATACCCACTATAAACACTTGTCATTTGACATAAGCACATGGGTATGGCAAAATGAATTGAAGTCAACTGACAGTTTCTTAGGCTAGTTGTGTCAAACTGTGTTAGCTGCTGACCTTGGGTTCTTTGTACTATTTCCAGTGACAAAAACTGGAAGTGTCAGACTTTACTTTCCCATCTTTCTCATAGCAACAGTGCCTATATTCTGGTATACAAGATGATCAAAGCTATTCTCCCTGGACTGTGGGAGAGAAACTTTCATTCCAGTGAGATAATCTCTATGTTTGCTTGCTTGCTTTAAATGTTACCAAGTAAAAATAAAATACTTAGAGCTACTTCAGTCATACTGAGAACATGAAACAAGAAGGTTAAAACAACAAAAGCAATAAAAAAAATAAATAAAGAAGAAAAAAGGAAAGGAGAGAAGGGGGATAGAGGTAAGAATGAAAGAAAGAGAGAAAAGTATTTGTAGAAAAAATTGTGGATAAGTCAATCTATGAACTGTTTAGACTTCATATCTTCTGATATAGTTAATTTACTATTTAGGCCATAGTAATTAAGATTCTATTACGTGACTGAAAACTTAGGAGGCATACAACCTCTGGAAAAAGATGAATAAGAAAGGCATATGTCATAAAGCCACATACATTAATCCTATCCCACTGTGAACCCTATGAGCTCTAACAACAAACCGCCAAGCAAACTATTCCTGTCCTGCAACTATGGAATGAAATCCATGAAAATAACCAACCATTTCTATTTTCATTTAAGGTCCACCCCACAAGACGGAACCCATACCTAACCAAGAATCTATAATTAGATAGGTTATAGGCTGTAGGGGAAAACCTACTACTATTAACTCTGCTCAAGGGACACAATATTAAACCTACTCCTAATGACTTATCCTCATATCCATAGCCTAGTGCATCTTCTCAAAACTCATCTGAGAAGTTTCTTTTTTCCAATAGCTGGGGATTAACACAGAGCTCACAACTGGCTAAGGCACAGAGAATAAGAACCTGCAAATTATTCATGCCTTAATTAGACATCTGAAGCATACTCCTCCCTCCCAAGACTCAGGAACCATTATAGAAGAAGGGGCAAAAAAGACTGAAAGAGGCAGAATTAGTCGATGCATTTCCCAGGCAAAACAGAGTAGCTATTCTTGAGAACTCATAGCAATACAGAGGCACAAGCCTCTGCAAACTTAAAACAAGCCAGAAAAATCCCAGCATGGATAGGGGACTGGATCTCAACTCTTGATGAGGGCAGTGATAGCTGATAGCAACTGGGAGAAGAGTTAGTTTTCTCTTCACACATGGCCTTTGGGAGGTGGAGCGTGCTCCAGTGCACAGCCGCACGCCAGAGTATATAACCATTGGTATTGGGCTAGATGGGCTTTCAAAAAGAAAAGAAAGACACAAAATTGGGTGGGTATGGAATTAAGGGTGTATCTTGGAAGAGCTGCAGGAAAAGGGAGACAAATATAATCAAAATACAATGTATGAAATTCTCAGGATAAAAATATGTATTAAGAATCAATAGAATCTATAAATAATTTATACTGCTTTAGAGACTGTTTTCAAAAAATAGTATAACTGTTTAACACTAGCAAAAGCATATTTTAACCAAAGAAGAAATTATTATGTTTAGTTAGACAACAAGTAATTTTAAGACATAATATGAAACGTAAATGTCTGTGCTGTAGGTGTTTGTTTTAACATCTATGAACAATGCAAGCTGTGTTTAAAACACAATTTGACTATTATTGTAATTTGGAATATTTAACTAAGTAGATTAAAAAAAAGCATGAAAACTTCTAATGGATCTTCATCAATGTGGAAAGCAATACATCCAAAGGCTCTCAAAACTTTGACAGTATGATAAATATCACTGGATAAAACTGAGGTGCTTAATTCTACTTTCAGGCTTTCTTTTACTTTCTACATAAAATAGCTCTGGAAAAGTATGATATCCAACTTGATAAGTAAATATAATGAGAAAATAAAAGCTTTCTAGGAAACTTAAAGGGAACATAAAACTAAAGCAGAAGACAAAATGTCCATATAAACAATAGATCCACTTTAATTTAAAAGATGATGAAGTGGGTATGGCCACACATGCCTATAATCTTAGCACTCAGAGGCGTAAACAGAAGAATCACTGAGACTACCATGGACTACACAATGAGACCCAGTCTCGGAGAGGGGATCTTTTCTGTATCCAACGTATAAGTGTACAACTATTACAAATAGCTCCTCCATTTTAACAGAAAAAAATATTGTCAAAAGCAAATCTTACATTAACAATTCAAGCTGTTTTGAAACTCTATAAGGAATCTTTTATAAATTTCCAGTTCTCACTGGCTACAATGGCACACACTTGTAATCACAGCACTGAGAAGGCTGAGACAGCAGGATTGTGAATTTGAGACTCGCCTGGGCTGTGCAGTGAATTTCACAACAGCTGCAATGCATAGTAAGTTCCTATAGCAAAGAACAAAAAAGTTCAATTCTCTTCAGTGTGTACAACAACAAACTAGAAACTTAGAAAAATGTGCTGTAATAAAAATGCCAACCTCCCCCCAAAAAAATTCAAAACAAAACAAAAATCCCACAAAAGCAAAACCTCTGCACTGAGCAAGGCAGCATCCAGCACATTTACCAAATAGATAAAAGAAAGCAACAGGGCAGGAAGAGGCCTCAGGTCCCAGTTTACCAACTTTATTATTTCATGGTGCCCTGGACATTTCCCCAAATTAACTCTTAGATACAGCGACATTTCCCAAATTAACTCTTAGATACAGCGACTAGAGACTTGACTTTGGTTTTGTACTAATCTGCATGCCTTCTGATAGGGAGACACAATCTCCAAATCATGGCACATCCCAATGTTTAGCACATTTACACAAAACGATGCTAATGTAAGAGTCAAATCTCTCAAAAATAAAACTGAAAGTGTCTACAAAAGGAACATCCTGACTACAAAGTTCAGTTACCCAGAAGTAGACAAGTAGGCCGAACTTACAGATTTCCCTCATTTTCGCCTGCGATCTATGCAGCCTTCTTAATCCTACTGCACTGCCCTCCTGGACCACTGCCCATCATCCAGAGCATCAGTCATGATTAATCCACATAACTCTACGCTGCCATTACACTTCTGTGTCTGCTCAATAGCTGTGAAAACTCTCAAGGTTCATCCAGTACTCCATCAAAGCACAATCCTTCAGAATCAGAACTCAAAACAAAACAGGCACATATCAAAATGTAACCTTCATATTTAAGATCTATTTAAGTTAAAATAAAATACATCCTACAAGTGTTTTTCAAAAATTTTCCTCATTAGATTACTTATTTTCTAGCTAGACATATAACGAATGTTTTATGAGAAAGTAAAATTTTATATAAATAACTGAAGTGGTTTATATATTATCATAAAGCATCATGAATACAAACTAAAAGTTTACTAAATTATCTCTCCAGAAAAATTGATTAAGGAATTAATTACACCTACTCTTAGGATTCCTTAAAATTCTTTAAAATTACTGTGAATGCTGCCAAGTGGTGGTGATGAATGCCTTTAATCCCTGCACTCAGGAGGCAGAGGTAGGCGGATTTCTGTGAGTTCGAGGCCAGCCTGGTCTACAAGAGCTAGTTCTAGGACAGGCTCCAAAGCTACAGAGAAACTCTGTCTTGAAAAACCAATATATATACGTGTGTGTGTGTGTGTGTGTGTGTGTGTGTGTGTGTGTATTGTGAATGCCGAAGATTTTATGAGTTATACTTTTAGAAATTTATCGCATGAATTAAAACTTTCAGTACTCTTAAGTACTAGTTAACTTATCTTAGACCTATTAAGTAAATACGTATTTTTAATCAAGATAGGTATTATGGCATTATGCAAGAAATTTTAGTGGGAAGGGCTGTAGTTTTTTGGCAACTCTAGTATCAAAACGTAAAAGCAGGATTCTCAAAACAATTTCAATATAAGGTTACACTGTTAGGTTGTATATCTCTATAACCCTCCAAAGCTTATAACATAGAAATATATATTTTATATTGTTATAAAAATAATTTGAAGCATGGGGTACTAATCTAAAGTCAGTAAGTCAAGAAAAAAAATACTAGGGAGCTAAAACTAAACTCAGAGAATGAGCTACCTTTAAAAAAAATGCCATATTCCTGTATAAAATATGCCACATATAGTGATTTGGTCAAATACTTAATCATAGATTATGAAGCTTCCCTTATACTTTCCCACTGTAACAGTGCACAGCAGACATGAGAAGTCGGGTAGATGAACATACCTCTTCTGCTGCGGCCTCGGACAGCAGGCCTTCTTTCTGCGCACAGGTAACATGAAAATAGGCTCTGCACATCCCTGCATCACAGCTAATGCAAACTCCAGTTCTAGCAAAGCGAGTGTCTTCACAAAAGCTACACTCCTATGAAAGTAACAGGAAAATTCTCACAGCAAAAGTCTTTCTGAAGCAAAACTAACCTCTCATGAAGTACTAAATATTACCAATGCAAAAACACTGTAGGCGAGCAAGTTCTGATGAAAAGGAGAACTCTTTACCCAGTTCTAGTCAGCCTAAACTAAACTGATAGAGTAGTAATAAGAAGAGATAGTATTATAAGAGTACTCAGGTGCTAGGCACTTAGTCTTCTTCGTGCTTTACATATACTAAGAGAAAAAAATCAATTTGGTACTTTTTCTTGTTACATTAAAAATGTTGAAGCAATAATGAGCTGACACCTGTTCTAAATAAAGTGTGGTTTTTATATTCTTTTTCTTAATTTTAATAAAATTCATTTCAAAGTTAAAGTAAAATTTATTTAATCCAACTGTGTAACAAGATAGTCTATGAGTCCCAGAGAATAAAAACAGTATCAATTAATATGCATTTTTACAACTTAGGTTATCTGAAGTTATACCATATGGAAAAATCAATAAATTAGTCCTCTAAGGAAACATCTACCAACTAATGATTCAAACATGATGACCATACCTGATCCTTGAACTGAGGAGGAAGAGGCAGGCTGACTACCGTATGTTTGAGACTGACTTAAGCTACAGTGAGATATTACCTCAAAAATACAAAAGCAAAACAAAATAACTGAATAATATAATAATAAATGACTTAGTGCTAAGAGTTCCTCAAGGAATGTGCTTGCTATTAAACACCTCCAGAGTAATTCGCAATTATTAAAAAAGCTATGTAAAAAAACAAATAAAATTTTCAATTTTAGCTAATCATAAAGTTGATCTTACCTTGGCACCATATTTAGAATAGTTCATTTCTGTTAGTGTTACTGGTCGTAACTTATCAATATCTCCAAAGGCTACTCCGGGAACATATAGGGCACAAACAATGTGAACCCATCTGTAAGAGAAAAGATGCAATTCTGCTATCAAATGCTTTCCTGAAATTCCCACATAGAAGATGAACATAAAATATGCTCCACCTCAAAATACTACGGAAAACATTCAACAACCAGATGGTTTTTTTTTAAAAAAAAAAAATCATCTCAGACTCTTAACTGAAAAACACAGAGCACCTATAGAGTGCTAACCCATCGTGGAGAGCAAGGTGCCATGAGCACTGCTCTTCCAGACGTCAGTCTGGTCAGAATGCATGTCCAGCAACCATAGCTGCTTTGCTCTTACAACTCACTGCACTTTGGTCTTACCTGGTATCCTTAAATATTTGCATAAGACTGCTATTCAAGGACAACAAAACATCGCTCTCATATTCCAGAAAAGATATTCACATTCATTACTGTGAGCACTTTTAGAATTAAGGACTCTAATTTAAGGACTACAAAGTTATTTTGTAATAATTAGATTAAGTGTTCCTTACTGCTACCTTTCCCACAAAGTCATTAGATATCCCTATGAATATATTTTTAAATAGTTTTGGTAACAAGTTTAACTTTCATCTCAGGATAAATGGTGGCTGGGAAAAGGTACAAAGCACAGTTATAATAATGGAGGAGTAACATGTTTTCATTTTTCTCATCTGTTCCCTATGTAACCGAAGACCTGAAGTTTACAAACGTCACCTACAACTACATAGCATAAATTCTGCACAAAGCCGTTAACACTTTTAAAAAAAAATGTTCAACTTTAGCACACTGAAAAAGAAAATTAAGTTAGTTCTGATTGCTTTAAAATGCCCTGAGCTATTATTACATGATTACATATCTATCTGTTTGCTTGCAGTCAAACAAAAGTTTGAATAGCTGCCTGAAATTTAAATAGCAGATATGCATAGTTTGTCTAAGAAAAAGAGTAAAAGTTAGATGGCAAGTCTCTATGAACTTTGTGAATATATTAACAAATTTTGCTTTATCTCATCTTTAAAAGTTCTGGTTTTAATATGTAATGTGTTTTAAACAACTAAGAATTACTCTATAGAGGTATTAAGGAAAAGTTAGAAATCTAACATTTTTATCATTTTTTTGCAAAAAAGTATCTATAGTTCTGAGATTTTTTAGATAAAACATTTTAATCCAGTCTCCCAAATTCATTATGCGAAGTTCAATATAAAGATGGAATCTCAACAAGCAGCCACTATCTCACTTTAATCTGTGTGGTTTCTTCATGCTCTAGTGATGTCTCAAATGTGGCTGTTCTCTGATAAACCCAACAGCGGGCTCTCTGCTTTATACTGGCCTCCTTAGCATACATGGGAACAAGCCACAGAAGTAGTGGAGATTTCTGTGTGACTGGCACACAAATGCTATCATTCTGCCCAGGCATGCACATGAGGACACCAACATGAGTCCTTACTAAAACACGTAGCAAAGTCACTGAAAATCACTAAGACAATTTAGTCCTTCAAGCACTTGTTCACATATTTTAGAACTTATGTAATGAAGTTGGGAAATCAAAACGGGAAAATATTTCTAATTACTTTATCATTCATTTTGCTCGGAGCTATGAGGACAGATGTTGATTGGGAAAAGGAGCAGAGAACAAGTGTCACAAAACCACCAAAAGACAGAGGCAGGCTGTCATTCTAGAACGGCAACGCGTTCAATTACATTCCTATATTGTTTATAGGCAGGTAACTGTACGTAGCAATACACTTCCTTGAAAAACTCTTATCTCACAGTAGAAACTACATTGATGGAATAATTTTCAAGTACATTTTCTGTGGAGTACCACATATTGAAAAAACATTTTAAAAATATCTACAGCATGTTACTTCCATTCCTTCATCCCAAAGCCAATGACTAAGTTTCTCCTAGGCACAGAGCATTATATAGACAATCTGGAACTCAGATGTTTGTGAAGTACTTAGGGCAGTGTGTAGCTCACTGTCTTCGATCAAGGAACATTTACAAGAAAAATAAAAACGTCTGACTGTTTCCTATGGGTAGTAAATTGTTCTTCTCACTTTGCAAATCGTGCTTTCAGAGGACTGATGTCTTTAAATGCAGCAAGTCTAGTAGAGGAAAACAATGAGGCTGAAGAAACCCAGTGCTCTCTTGCTTCTGCTGTATGGTAATGCTCACTGCACAGAAAAAAGGCCAATAGCCACTCAGTCTCACTTTAGAGTGTATATATTTTGCTTTGCTTTGCTAAATAAATAAACTTCTGTTTAAACTGGAAGCAGGAAAATAAATATATTTTATATTTCACAAAATGGAGTCTATATGATTGAATGAACAAATGAATGAAATTTATGCCCTGGCAATGCTGAAGCATGCATGGGCAGTCAGTACATGGTGGTTCTGTTGAACTTGTCCATATTGGGTTTCATGCTTTTAAGTTGATGAGGACGACTGATCAGGTCTCTTCCTCAAGAGGGCACCAGATCTCATTACAGATGATTGTGAGCCACCATGTGGTTGCTGGGAACTGAACTGAGGGCCTTTGGAAGAGCAGGCAGTGCTCTTTAACCACTGATCTGCAAAATCTTCTATTTAAGACATGTAAAAATTCAGTCAGGCTGTGGGGGCACACGTCTTTAATCCTAGCAGAGGCAAGTGGATCTCTATGAGTTTGAGACTAGCCTGGACTACAGAGCGAGTGCCAGGGCAGTCACCAAAGCTACACAAAGAAACCCTGTCTCAAAAAACTACAAAAAAAAGTAAAAACTTAATTTTTATTTCAAGAATTCCACAGGTATTTTCTCACATTAAATCATTTCTCCACATAAATATTATAAATCACATCAGTAGAGGAGAATGTATAGTTAAATTCATGCACTAAATCGATTTCAAAACTCTTTTAGCCTGTCCATGAAGATAAAGGACATGTCCAATTTTTATGGGTTTTTTTTTCTCTTTTTTGGTTTTAAATCAAACTGGCATTTACATGCTGCAAAATACACAAATACATAAAAGCTCAAAATTTCTACCCTGGCCTCTGGCCTCCGTGGGGCTTTGGATATAAAAAAAAGCAAAACAAAACACATAAGCATTTAAATAGTTAACTACAGAACTGTACCTCTCTGTCCACAGAGTACCTAATCTGTATATGCAATATGCACAGTCGCTAATATGAATATTTTCACTTTAATATCAATGTTTAAAGTGCTTTCTTTTGTCTTCTTTTGGAAAAGATTACACGTCACTTTGTAGAGCATGACAGCACAGAAAGACACTTTGTCAATCAACTTTTAAATTAACAGGAAAAACCAAGTAAAATGAATTCTCTTCTTCCAAAGGAAGCTGGGTTGTTTTTTTGTTTATCTTGTTTTTTCTTTTTTCAAAATGGCCTTAGTTCACCACAACTGAGTATTCAAAGTTTCAATATTCAAGATAGAAATCACCAAATAGCATGTATACTGCAGCGCCTATTCAGAAGAGAGCAGTAGCAGCAGCAGCACTGATAGTCAATAATGGGACATTTACTGCCCACCAACTACGTCAGGAACTGTCTAACATGAGCTGTATCACTTGCGCTTCTCGAAAGTACTACAAAACTAAGGCATAGTAACAAGGCTAATGAACTCACCTAAAGTCATGGTACAATAAAAACAAAACAAAAGCAAACAAACGAATGAATCTAAATGAGGCCAAACTACTAGGAAAGCACATATTTCTCAATGCTTTACTAAATCCACAGTTATAGGTCAGAGTTCAAAAATTACATGTATAAAAATGAACAAGTTCTAGTCTATATATAAAAAGTACTTGCTATTATTTTAGCTCATTTCTTTTCTTAGGAGATGAGGGGTCGTCTGGATTCTGAGCACACAGGGTCCCCTAAGATCTCACAGTAGATTCTATGTTATCTTAGCAATCTATCAAGGGTGTGGTTAGTAATTGAAACAAAATGAGAAAGATATTTTTCTTAATTTTACTAAAGTAAACTTATTACATCTAAGTCTAGATTTTAATTTGTGGACTACATATATGTTTTCAGTGTTAAAAAATTGATGAATATTATGTTGTTTGGTAATTCTTCCTGTTATTATTAAAATATTAAACATTCTTATATAAAACATCCTAGGTGACAGAGAACTGGCTCAGCACTTAAGCAGATACTGCTCTTAAAAAAGAGCCATATTTGGTTTCTAACACCCAAATCGGGCAGCTTACAGACATCTATGACTCTAGCACCAAGGAATCAGAAACCCTTTTCTAGACCCTGCAAGCACCTGTATTCATGTGCAAATACCTACACAGACACTTAATATACTTAACTTTCAAATTATAAAAAAGTGAATTTTTAAAATTCTAAAGCCTTGTCAAAATAAAAACATAAAAGCATGAGTGTCTCTTCTCTTATTGACAGCACTGAGGTGGATAATCTTCAAAACACACAAGACTGGGAATAACTTATATACTGTAGTCAATCACCCCTAGTCTCATAGGGAAAACCAATATAAATGATGTCGGCACTTTTATGATGGTAACTGTTCAAATGTGGCAGTGACCGTGAGTTGTGATTGCAGTGAAAAGACCACAGGTCTCTGTGCCAACTATCAGTACATTTGTTGCTCGGCTTCACAGTCATGCTTTAATATTTACTCTGCAATGATGGTCCGAATTCCCTCAGCACTTGCTATTTAGAGAGTGTGGTTTTGTTATCACTATAGTTGGGCACTGGAACTTAACAGTACAGAGTACAGCAGAAGGGATGAGGTTCTCAACAGGACAGACAGAGTATATCGGCTACAGTACAGCCACGTGTTCAGACCTTATGCCCTCACAAGCCTGGCCCGACCATGAGATCACTTTTCACTGTCCTCTCAAAAAACACAGCATATGGAACAGGCTTCAACACAAAGTTGCAGCTCCCCCGGCCAACTGTGGCAGGCAGGCAGCTACTTTTAAGAGCTGAAGACTGGCAGATAAAGCAGAAAAGTTTTCTGGCAACTAGTAGGCTACAGCTAGTCCTTGGAACAAAGTCCAAACTCCAAGGTCAGGAAAGAGGTCACTCCTTTCATTTTGGCATTCCTTAATCTATGTCATCCCTTAAATTTCCTTCAGAAGCTAATTTATACCTTCCATATACTTTTAGGGCATAATTTTAACAATACTTATTATTAAATTTCTCCATTTTTAATCATTGTATGTTATATTCCTGAAGTGAGACAGATCTGGGTTCAAATTTCTCTATTTACCAGATTACTTGTGCTTATACAGAATTTAAATGATGTGAGTCTTGGGAACTATCCTTATAATCTAAGAAACAACCACGGCTTCTTCACAGGCTCATTAAAAATAACTGGGATGATGAATTTAAAAAACAAATCCAAGTACTTGAGAGGTCATCTTTCTTACTCCCCTCATCAATCTATAACCTATTGGTCAAGTCACAAGATGGGACAAAAAGTGTGTGACTCAAAACTCATAAAGGGAAGAAAAGGGAGCTCCAAGCCAGGCATGTTATAAAGCAGGCATATGAACACAACATAATGGGACATCAACCTTCCAGCATCAGTTTCCTTGAAAATTCCATCCTGATTAGGACATAGCTCACAGCTAGGAGAAACACCACATTTACAGGCATCACAAAACCAAGGCTCAGTGGAGTTTTCAGAAGCTGAACTCATAATAGAGTCACTCTCCCCATCAACTCCGTAACATCCTACAAAAAAGAAAAGAAATAGTTATGATTCAATAGGAATTGTTTTTTTAAACTCACTTTTGTAAAAGTCAAAAACAAAATAAAAAAGAGAAGTACAGAAGAATTCTGAGAAAAGCAATCGTTTATAAGACTGACATAAAAATATAAATAAAATAGTTTTTCAAAAATACTATTTCACCTTACAGTTATGAATTACATAATCCATCTCAAATAAAAATTGTTAGCCCTATGCTATCTCAAAGTATTATAATAACACATTTCAATATACTCAGTCTTATAAGAGAGTGCCAAAGAAACAGTTTTAAAGGAATTAAATTAGCACACAAGCAAAGGGATCAAAACTTATTCCTTTCTTTAATATTAAATTTCAGTCAGCAACCACCATCTTCATTGCTTATGTGTAAGCACAAATTTGCAACACAAAATCATAAACTGAAAAGACTTAAGATTTTCTTGTTGCTGCAGTTACTGTTACCTATAAAAGAGCAATAACTAAAATCTATTCAAAGAAACATCATAAAAGAAACAATAAAAATAAAACTACTTCTCAAAATAAAACTATTTCTCAATAAGCAATCTAATACTACAGGGAGAAAAATCTACTTTTCTTTACAAAATTATGTTCCTTTAAAGCAAATTATTTCAAACCAGAAGAAATCTGTATTCAAAGTAGACAATTAGCAAGGTAAGAATGGCCGCCAGAGGCTATCAAATTTACTAACTTTATTCAGTAAAATCAGGACACTTCACAGCAATTAACGTGTTTAACACGGTTTCAATTCTGTTCTAAAGATGCATGCTAATACCCGCTTGCTAACGTAGCAAACACCCGCGGAGTTCTCAAAGGCCTACAAACACTCATGCCAATGGTTCTGCACTTCATTCGCAGACAGTCTTCTTTTGTGGCCCAGAACACTGGCACTCTCCCAGTCCAAGGACAACCGGTACATGAGAAGAGCTTCCGTCAGCCTCATTGTCCCAGAAATCTGACACATAGTGTCTTCAGAGTTCAGCATTTAACATTTGACCTGCTATGCCGCCATATTTTCTGTCATACTCTTAGTATTTACTGAGCTCTAAACCAAAATTCTGGCACTTTATACCAAGACAATCTAATTCAATCCAATTAGTAACTAGATACATGACTAGAAAGATTTAAAAATATGTGTTTCTTTCATTCAAAGCATAAGCTATTCTTGCATCAGGTAAAACGTTAAATTTCAAAAATTTATAAGCAAAAACTCATATCATGTATGTTAACTAATTTCAAGTACAAAAACACATTTAATAAAAGTAATCTATGTAAACCACATTTAAGGAAAATATTATATAAAATGTCTAATTGTCTTGAATTTTACAAAGACCATGACCCAAATTAGTAGAATTCAGACTTCTAAAGAGACCAAATACTCTTCTGCCTTCTAGCTATGTAGCTCTGCACAGACTGAATCTCTGAGAGTTGGCAATCTTATTGGTAACGTGTATTATTTACCAACATTTATCATATCTCTTGATATTAAAAAGAAAAAAACACAAAAGTTGCCACAATAATTTGTATTTAAAAACCTGCATTTAACAATAAAATCCATATTCTTCCAAAATGTTTTAAATAAATAACATTGTTCAAATAACATGGGTTAAGTTACATGAAGACTTAAGTACCAATATGCATCATGCAAAACGCTGGGTCTTTCAGCACATGTCTATGAGCCCAGCACTGAGGAGGCGGGCACAGGAAGATCCCTTGAGCTCACTGGTCAGTTAATCTAGCTGAATCAAAGGCTCCTGACTAAGAAACCTGTGTGGGAAATAAGGTGGAAAGCAATTAAGAAAAACACCTAGCACTGACCCCTGGCCTCTATGCAAACATACACGCACACCAAAAACAACATATAGGAGTAATTTACTACTATTGTTCTGTTAAATGAACATGCAATAAAACGACTCCATATATCATTATGCTCTCAGATCACCTCATCACACAAGCTTCTTTGTGCAGTAGACAGAGACCCACAATTGCTCAACATGCAGAGAATAGAGAATTCTGAATGCTTAGTGCTAAATAAATGTCTATATCACACACACATACACACACACACACACACACACACACACACACACACACACTCACACACATCCCTTAAGGCTCAGACAGAAGTCTACGGGAACGAGGGAAGTAGGAGACTGTAAAAGTTAGCTGTGGTGGATGACTTCAAGGAAATGGTATTTTCCAGACAACAAAGCAGATGTACACATGGAACTCACAGACTGTGGCAGCATGCATGAGACCTGCACAAGCTCCAACAAGAAAAATCCCAGCATAAAGAAAGTAAAATAGGACAAAGTCCATCCCCAAGGAGAAAAAAAAAAAGAAAAAAGAACCTACTTGCAATTAATAGCTGGGAGAGAAAAATCAGTTTTCTCTCCAATGGATGGGTGTATTAATCACACTCTGTGGCAGGTCCTATGTTCAGGAGTAGTCAACAAACACAAACTTGACTCCACTGTTTTATTGTTCTGATATTTTTTTATGAGAAAGAACTAACATGAAGTTAGGTAAACAGGGAGGTTGGAGAGACTCCAAAAAGCTGGAAGAGGGGAAAGAGTATGCTCAGGTTATACTATATGAAATTCTCAAAAAGGAAAAAAAAATCTTATTTTAAAAAATTAAAAGAAAAAAGAAAAACATTAATGGCTGCAATACCTAGTTCAGTGCAACAAAATGTTAGAAGAAAAAATGAGAAATATTCTTTAATACAGCAAGTCAGTAGTTTATGCTGCTGAAAAATATTTTTGAAACTTGAAATAAAAATTTAAAAACTGTGAAAAAATTTGACAAAAATTTAAAGCCGAAACAACAACTAGAAATCCCAAGAAGGAGAATGCAGGAAAGGCAAGGAAAATCAAACACTTCAGAATTCTTTTTCCAGAATATGAAGAAAAACAAGTGTGATACTCTATTCTTGGTTGTCAACCTGACTAAAGCTGGAGCTAACTAAAACCCGAGCAGTTGGTATATCTATGAAGGATCTTTCTTGATTGAATCATTTGAGGTAGGAAGACCCATGCTAAATCCAAATCTTCTGAGGAAGGAAGATCCACCTTAACTCTGAGCCACACCTTCTAATGGCAGGCTATATAAAAACATGGAAGAAAAAACTTCTCTTTGCCTGTTTGATCTTGCTCTAACTGACAAATATATTACTTCCCTGGTATTAGAGGGTATGTCTTTAGGATTCAGCATTATACTGAAGACTAGCTGAGACATTCAGCTTCATGGACTGAGCAACTACTATGTTTTAGACTTTTGATCTGGAGACAGCCATTGTTGAACTAGCAGGACCACAACCTGTAAGCTTCTCTGGTAAATCCTGCTTATTTACACACACACACACACACACACACACACACACACACACACATATTCTGCGGTGGTCTGAATGAGAACGGCCCCCAAAGGCCTATATTTGCATGCTTAGTTCCCAGTTGATGAACCATTTGGAAGAATTAGGTGTGGCCTTGTTAGAAATGTGTTTTGGGGGGTGGGCTTTCAAGTGCAAAAAGCCCAGGCCAGGCCCAGTGACTCTCTTCCTGCTGCCTGTGGATGGCACCACATTCCCCACAATGATGATAATGGTCTAGCCCTCTGAAACTGAAAGCAAGACCCCAATTAAATGCTTTCTCTTAGCAGAGTTGCCTTGGTGATGGTGTCTCTTCTCAGCACTACAACTGTAACTAAGACAAATTCATTTTATGCATTCTGTTTTCTTAGAGAACCCTAACAGATACACCTACAAACCATTAACAGAAAGAGAGCAGGAAATATAAAAACTAGTTGGAGATTAAAGAGCATGCTTTCAAAGATGTGCATCTTTTGTAAAAAAGTAATCTCAAGGAAAGTTTAAAATATTGTGAAGTAAATAAAAACAAACGTTTAACTTATCAAAATGTAGCAGACAGCAGTGCAGGGTAAAACGGAGAATTAGGCAGGAAATAAGGAAAAGAGTAGCAAGACTAGAGAGTACTACACACAGAGATGCGGGAGGAGCATCAGAAATCACAAAGGAGGTGACAGGACAGCAAGAGTGTGGGAAGAAGGACAGCTCAGAAACATAAGCAAGGACTTCCTGAAAAATACACCAAAAAGCATGAAAAGGAATTCTAAGACTTGGCAAATGGGAGTGAATGAAATTAAAAAGCTTCTGCAAGCAAAGGAAACAACTGACAAAGCAAAGAAACAGCTTACATATTGGGAGAAAGTCAGTACAAATGACATTATCAAAGATTTAGAATATACTCTCCAACAACTGCACAATGTATATTTGCTCATCAGTATCTAGACCTTTCTCTAGAATAAACCAAATATCAGATCAAAGAGTATATTTTGAGAAATTCAAACACTGAAATCATGTATCCTTTTTTTCTGATTACAATGTAATGAAACTAAAAATCTGCAAGAACAGGAAATTACAAATATAGGAGTTTGAACAACGCACTGAAAATGTTAATCAAATGTATTTATGTAATATGAGTGTGTGTGTGTGTGTGTGTGTGTGGATGTACAGGAGCATAAATGTGTCATAACACGTATGTGGAGGTAAGAGGACAACCTGTGGAGTAAGCTCTCTTCCACTAACTATTGCATATTTTATGTTGTGACAAATACAGCTTGGATGGCGTCAGAGGGCAGGCTAGACACTAGTTAACCATGAAGTCAGGAGGTCTGTACAGACAGAAAGTTTCAATAAGGTGGGGCAGACAAAGGATCTCAGCCTTTTTGGACAGAGGAACAGAAGAGATAGGAAGGGACTGTGGTTCTCTCTCTGCTTCTCTGGTCGTTCAGATTTTTATCCCAATATCTGACTCCTGGTTTTTACTGATAAGATTAATTAGATTTATGCTTCAAAAATATGGATCCCAGAGATCAATCTCAGTTTACCAGGGTTTAAAGAAGGCATCCATACCAAGTGAGCAGCCTGCTGACCCTGTACAAGATATTA